AAAAAAAAAAAAAAAAACTACCTTTTGTGGTGGTGGCTTCTTTTTTTTTTTCCCCTTTTCGGGGGTGGGGTGGGGGGTGAGTATTGGAAAAATTGATTTTAACCAATTTTACTGGTAAAATTGAATCTATCACTGGTACTGAAAGGTGTGATCTCGGGATTAATGAGTTGGTATTGAAGAGTGTGATCTAGTGGTCAATGAGTTGGTATGGATTATGTGAGACAGTATTTTTAAATGTTCTTTTTTTGGCGAAATGGCTTCTTGGCCACCTAAACTTGCACCCGATTTGAAAGCCGATATATGAACTTTCGGTTTTTCCATTTTAGCACCCCAACTCGATAAAAATAGTTATAATAAACCCCTCCCTCAGAGCGTGTATCTCAATTGCCTGAAGTGAATACCACGTCAGATACTAAGACCATTTATTGTTTGACATTTGTAAAATCTGGGTCCCATCCCTTTTAAAATTAATTTATCAATTTTTTTAATTTTTGTTCTCTTTTCTTTCTTCTTCACCATAGCTCCTGCAAAACGTTCCCTTCCCCAACCACTATTTTCACTGGTAAATATTCAAATATGAACAATTCATATCCTAGTATATATCTTAACCAAAACTCAATCTAGAAATTAGTCCAAATAAGCCATTAGATCTTCTAAAAAAATATCAAAACCATTCCGACAAGGTTTTTATCGAAAAAAATGGCATCTTGGTGGCACTCGTCAAAATAAAAATTAACAGACCTCCTTGAGCACCTATTACTTCCTACCCCTGAAAATTTCCAGTAATATTGTAGTCACAACCGGCCAAAGAAGATCGCCGGAAACGCTGTCACCACCATACCTGTCGTCAAACTAAGAAAATGAGATAGACTAACCAACGCTACCAACGCTAAAATAATTAGCTTGTGGAGAAATGAAGCCTGGCCAAGGGATTGTTCAAAGTCGNTTATTTTTTTTTATTTGTCTTTCATTTACTTTTCCTTTTTCTTATTCAGCTTTAATACTTTTTCAGTTTAGTAATTCGAGTGACGCTCTTTTTCTGCGTGATTAACACGCACTTTGACCACGTCAGTTGTGTTGCTGCCACATAAGCATAGTCAAAGGTCAAAAGTGTTCACTTATAAGTAATCGGTTGAGTTGAAGTGTTAAAATGGAAAAATCGAAAGTTCATATATCGGCTTTCAAATTCAATGCAAGTTTAGGCGGCCAAGAAGCTATTTCGCCTTTTCTTTTCCTTTCCCTTTTCACTATTCCTCACTGCCCACAACCATGGAGTTGCCGGAANCAAATCCGGTGCAAGTTTAGATGGTCAAGAAGCCATTTCGCCTTTTTTTTTTTATATATATATGTTTAAGCTTTGCTAAGCAAAGTTATAAATTAAAAATCACATACTATCTAGGACCTTATAGATGGATGCCATAAAGCATAATTGCCGTTATAAAATAGCGCGAAATTACATCCAAAGTCCTACACAATTGACTATCCAGGACTACAATGTAACTCCCAGAACCCAATCAATGAATAACAGAAACACCCAGTGGCTATGGAGCACAATAGAGAGAAAATGCCATGCTTTGCTCCAACAAAGGAACTCCAAAGCCACCCTTCTCCGTATTCACGCGGTAATGCTTCGAAACGCCGTTGATAGTAACGTCAATCTCCTCACCAAGCTCATTTCCAGCTTCTCCGTCAGCGACCCAGTAGCTGGAATCAGCCATGGACGCCGCGTGTTCGACACAAGTCCCCAAAAGGACGACACTTTTCTCAGTAACACCATGATAAAGTCCCACATGGGAGTTGGCCAATTCGCCGAATCAACACTTCTGTATAGAGATTTACTAAGACATACTAGTTTTGAACCGGACAACTACACGTTTTCTAGCCTTTCCAAGTGTTGTGGTGCAAGATTAGTGTTGTGGGAAGGCTTGGAAGTTCATAATCATGTGTTGAAATGTGGGTTTGTGTTGAATTTGTTTGTAGCGACCTCCTTGGTTGATATGTATGCGAAGCTTGGTGAAATGGGTTTTGCTAGGAAGTTATTCGATGAAATGCTTGAGAGAAGTTCAGTCTCGTGGACAGCTTTAATTGGCGGTTATTTGAAGTGTGGTTGTATTGGTATTGCTGAAGGACTTTTTGATGCAATACCTGAGAAAGATGTAGCTGCATTCAATGTGATGATTGATGCTTACGTGAAGAAAGCAGATATGGTGTCAGCAAATACATTGTTTGAGGCAATGCCAGAGAGAAATGTGATTTCTTGGACTAGTATGATCGACGGGTACTGCAGTAATGGTAACGTAAATGAAGCCAGGGTGTTATTTGATGCAATGCCGGTGAGGAATTTGTTCTCTTGGAATGCAATGATTGGTGGATACTGTCAAAACAAACAGCCGCAAGAGGCTTTGAAATTGTTTCACGATTTGCAGATGAGGACGACATTGGAGCCGGATGATGTTACTGTTGTTAGTGTGCTACCAGCTATTGCTGATTTGGGTGCCTTAGATCTGGGTAACTGGGTTCACCAGTATGTGAAGAGGAAGAAATTGGATAGATCTTCAAATGTTTGCACTGCCTTAGTTGATATGTATAGCAAGTGTGGGGAAATTGCAAAAGCCAGGGAATTTTTTGATGAGGTAAAAGTAAAAGAGACATCAAGTTGGAATGCTTTAATTAATGGATTGGCGGTCAATGGATCTGCTAAAGAAGCTTTGGGGGTGTTTGAGGAGATGAAGAGTAAAGGATACAAGCCAAATGAGATTACTATGCTTGGTGTTTTGTCAGCTTGTAACCATGGTGGATTGGTGGAGGAAGGCAAGAAATGGTTTATGGCAATGGAGAATTATGGGCTTACTCCGCAAATTGAGCACTATGGTTGTCTGGTTGATCTCTTGGGGAGGTCAGGGTGTTTGGAGGAAGCCGAAAACTTGATCGAAACCATGCCTTATGAGGTAAATGGAATAATATTGAGTTCCTTTCTATTTGCGTGTGGTTATGCCAAAGATGTTACAAGGGCTGAGAAGGTCAAGAAAAAGGCAATTGAGATGGAACCGTGGAATGATGGAATCTACATTATGTTGAGGAACTTGTATGCCACCGACAAAAGGTGGAGTGATGTTGAAGACATTAAGGGGTGGATGAGGAGAGAAGGGGCAAAAAAAGAGGCAGGTTGCAGTACAATTGAAGTTAATGGTATGGTTTGGGAATTTTTAGCTGGAGATAAGATACATCCACAATGTGAGGAAATACGTCTTCTATTGGAGCATTTGCGGCTGTACATGAGAGGTCAGGATACACCTTATAGTAATGATATTGGATTGGCTGAATTTTGAATGACGACTATCTTGCCAATACTACATGTGTTTCACAGCTTGTATATACTGGTGTTTCCCCTCATATCTCAGATGTCAGCCTTGAGGTTAACGAATAACATGGACGACAATGTCAATCAAGATGGGCACAAAGACCACAACCTATAAGGAGACATGATAAACACCCTTGCCTTCCCGAAAACGGTGCGGTACTAATGTATTGAATTGATTCTTTGTTAAGAGTGTAATTTATAAACTAAAGTTGTGAACCATAAGAAGAGCCTCAGACTGAAGATCAAGAGAAAACAGGTACTTGAATGTCAGTGTTGGTTTGGAATCAGAAATGTCCGCTGCACAAGTATGGTTCTTTTGGAATTACTGTTGCATGATAAAGGCAGAGCGTCATGCGGGAGTCTGTTGTGTAGATTCCTGTTTAAGCTAAAGCTTGATTGAAGTCAAGAATCTACGCCATGATCTCCCACATGATGAAAGTTTGAAATTTTAATGTTGTTGGTTAGGAATCAGAATTGTCCCTGGCACAAGATATGGTTCTTTTGGGATTACTGTTGTATGGCAAAATTTAGAGCATCATGTGAGAGCCCATCGTATAGATTCCTGCTTAACTCCAAGCTAAATCTTGATGAAAGTCAGGAATCAGATATAGCAAACCAATGGAAAGTAGTTACTGGATTCTTTGCTTGTACACATCACCTAGACAGACAACAAGCCATTCCTAGTCTTTCTTTCTCTTTCTTTATATACTTTCATTGAATCTATTTGTTCATATTGGCAAAGATGGGTCTAATCATGAGCTTCATGGGAAAAGGTCAATCATCTTCACTCTCTTTTAAAACTTAACTTTTGCTAATCATCTTTATTCATCACCTCGTATTTTCTGGGTTTCCCCTCATTAAAAGTTAAGTTTCTTTGAGCATAGCTGTCGTTTGTACATTTTATGTTCAGAAGGCAATGACATTTGTAAACCATAACTATTCAACTCTACAGGATTGCCAACACAGCTTATAAGTAAGGTGACGGGAAAATTTCACGAGTCTTTCGTGGATAAAAATATCACGGATTTTGAAGGGTTCCATCTGGCAATTCTTGACATGTTCGTGTAAGATTCTTTGTCCAAAACTCTGATAAACTTATGTTGATACAACGAGCCTTAACTACCAAAGAAAAATGAAGATGCAATTGGCCTTATTTATAAATATATATCATTTGGGTGTGCGACTAGTTGCCAGCATCTGGTTTGTTCTTAGGATATTCCTAGCTAAATGAAACTATAGAACCATTATCCTTAGGTAACGCTGAAATTTCTTTTTTCCACAGCACTGTGAATGGTGCATTGCCTGGTAAGCACTGGATTGTGCCTTCGCGTGACAAAATCGAGGTCATTGTCTCTCTCTCTTTCTCTCTTTCTCTCTCTCTCTATCACACACACAAACAACTGGTTCCTAATGCATCTTTAGCAAATATAGGAGTGTTTTAAGGAATGGAAGCAACTCGATGAAGAAGGCAAGAAGAAGAAGGTCCTAGAGTTCATGGAGAAGAACATAAAACTAAACAGGTTAGATCAGACTGCGCTCATCATTGGGCTGGCAACACCACCTGCATCAATGGCAGCCAAGAGAGCCGGTGAAGGTGTGCCTCAGCTCAAATTTATTAAATCCATTCCAGACGTGCTGTTTGTACCTGCTGCTACATTGGTTGCTCTTGCATCAGTTAAACTTTCCAGAAAGATATTCCTCCAACACGCAGCATCTGAAGACCGTCTAATTGAAAACCATCCTGGAACATCGAATTCTTAAGCTTCGAGATGAAAATTTTCAATTGGTATACAAGTTTGTTTAACTGTTATTTCAACCATTCTTACCAGTCAAATGTAACAAAGAAACATCACATTTGACATGCATATAACAGTTGGAGATAATCAATAAACCATGCACATTTTATGTATACTTAGAATAAGGAATTAATGCATGCTCCTTATTAGATAAACTGGTTTCAAACCATTCCTACCACTACCAGTCAAATATAAGGGAGTGTCTCATTATCCAAAAAAGTTCACAAATTTACGAGGGAAAGAGAATTTCCTCACTCCCAGATAGAAGGTGCGAGCGGTTAGCCTCGGAGGGTAGCATGAGGGGTAGAGGTAGGCCTAAGAAGTCTTGGAGAGAGGTTATTAGGCGGGACATGGCGCGTTGGAGCTGACTGAGGACATGGCCCAAGACAGAAGGGTGTGGAGGTCAAAGATTAGGCTAGAAGGTTCGTAGATAGTCCAGCGTTTCTCTTTGTCTTACTCAGTTCGCTAGCATTAGTGTTTGTATGATATTTTTTATTCATAGATGGCTATTACTACCTAGAGTTTGACTGCATTCTTGGATTCGATCTTATTTCATCTTGATGTCATTCCTACTTGTTGCAATTACCTTTTCTTTTTCCGTTATTTTCAAGCCGAGGGTCTATCGGAAACATTTCTGCGCTTCCAAAGGTAGGGGTAAGGTTACGTACATCTTACCCTCCCCAAACCCAACTGATGGGAACTATTGAGTTTGTTGTTGTTAGGTTTGTGACACATAGCGCATTAACATACAGTAGTATACCACAAGGTAAATTCAAGAAACTCTTCCAAGTTAAAAAGGACAAGGATAGTGCCCACCCTGACATGTGAACAGACCTCAAAATGAAAAGGGGCCACCTTTCTTGGCATCTATTATGCAATAGCTCAAATGATGGGTGACAACTCAATGCTATGCCTACAAGAATATGACCACTAACATGTTTTCCCGGGAAACACATTTGCTAACCAAGGAGAATATACTCCCATATGCCCATATGAAACACGTTCATACATCCAATATAACACGTTGAAAGATAAACAATTAATAGAATACAGAACAGCTGAAGTATTACTTTTGATTTAAAAGGATCAAACTGAAGTTCAGAGTTTAATCAAAAACAAAAACAAAAAAACTCAAGTATACTTAAGAGGGTTTGAATTCGTTTTGTTGATGGTGAGGTAGAGTTCACCTCTTTTATTTTGCAAAATTTGATTTCTTAAACACATCGTAGCTTTTAGAATGTACTCATGACTCCCTTCAACTTGTTTAACTTTCAGATTTGATTCGTATGTTATTTGAATAAGAAAAGGTTTAACTTTTTATTTTGAATCATGATGGTTATCCTAATATATTTCTTGTGTTATTAGTAAGAATCTCACCACGGATTGAACTTATTTGTAATTTAAATCTAATAGCTAGTGGTGGCAAACGAGCGGCTCGGCTCGGATATGGGTCGGATCGAAACGAGTAATGCAAAAATGGATAAATTATCCGATCCAACCCATATTTAAAACAGATAAAAAACGGATTAACCGGCGAATAACTCATATTATCCATGACTTCTTGAATATGATCACTTTGGGAGAATTCATAGTCTCCCAAACTTGAGGAACCCCCAATTTGAATCTTTATAAATATAAAAGTTAAACCCATTGATTATCCATTTTCTAAAAGAATAATATGGTTCTTATCCATATTTGACTCGTTTATAAAAAGTTTATTATACAACTCATTTTTTAATGGATAATATGGGTGGATAACTGTTTTCTTTTAATACATTTTGCCACCACTACTAAGAGGCAATAGCTAACGATTATTAAGGAGGACTCTCATGGAGCAATCACCACTACAAATTTCTTGTTCGTTTGATCTTTTACAAAAATATAGAGAGTGTTTTTTTCCTTCAATCTCTTTTTCCTTTTAGAGTCTTTAATTTCATAAGAGCAAAAATTATAGAATCTCTACAAGAAACGGAAACAAACATGATAAAAGAGGTGACAACTACAAGTGTGAGGATATAATCCACAATGGACTCATGATGTTCTTTTCTTAAAATGAAGTGCTTGAAATACCATTTTCAATCGGTTAATAAGTTGTATCAATGGAGATTAAGATTATATTTTAATGAGGCTTAAGTGTTCCAACTTCATACCCAAGGGGGCAAAGTAGAAATAGTTCAAAGTTGAAGCCACACCCGTCCAAAACTTGGAATTAATACGTTCCTATAACCTTTTGCCACGTGTCTTTCATTTAGTTATTGTCAACTACCATGACTCTATCCTATTTCTCCTACTAGTTCGCACTTTTGATCTACCAAACTCTTTTCTTTTTCTTTTTCGTTTTCTTACTTCATCTAACCTTCTCTTCCCACGTTTTTTCTTGACACTATTTTCAGTTTTGTGTCAGTTCTTGGAACAATTAGTAAGCTAGTGAATCCAAGATTTATATATATATATATATATATATATTCCCCTTTTAAAACAAGATTAAAGTTGTTGGGTCTTTTCCAATGAACTTCATGTTGATATTTACTCTCATATTGACCCTTCAGTCAATCAATACTTATTCTCTTCCTTTTGTTGTCTTTCATGGTAAAGCAAAGTTCTCTTCTTTTATATTGCCCTATGCGTAATGTTGTTTTGTGGGACTGCTCATTTTGTTGAATAATCTTGAAAATAAGGTGTTGGAGAATATTTATAGTACTATATAGCTTGAGTATTGTACTCATTTGTAGCGATTAGTTGCCTCTCAGCTTCTCTTGGAAGGGGAAATTTTTCTGTTCTATACATAAAAGAGCAGGTCGGTGCACTAAGCTCCCGCTATGCGAGGGGTCCGGGAAAGGTCCGGACCACAAGGGTTTACGCAATCTTACCCTGCATTTATGCGAGAGGTGTCGAACCCTGGCAGCAACTTTACCAGTTACGCCAAGGCTACGTTTCATTTTGTTCTATCCATAGTTTGAGAAAATGTTGTTTCCCTTTTTATATAAAAGCCTGAATGAACCATCCAAACTTTTGTATAATTGAACTTAAGAAGAGCATATAAACGTGGAAGAGTCAACAAGAGTAGAAAAGGTTTATTGGTGTTGTGTTGATATGGATTACAAATTACTTCACTGTGCCTCGGTTTCCATAGGAACATCTAGCAGTCACCTCACTTTCTTCTTAAAGCATATATAATAGGAACAACAATTATTTATTGGCCAAAATTATGGGATTCTACATTGTGTAAATATCTTGAGATAAGCAATGTTTATATATCAGGAATATCAGATAAATGCAGCAATGAAGGAGTCAGCTATTTCACTGAGCTTCTAAGCAACTGGTCTGGCTCTCCAGGATATTGCATGTAAGCATTAACATTATCACTAAGTCAACATACTCTACGATCAACTTGTTATAAATGATGATTTCCCCTTTAATTTTTAACTTAACTCTAAATAAACTCCAAGGGTAATATCTGGATTTTTTCTGTTTGCACAGAGAAATAGGTAACGGAGAATGGGACTCCTGGTTTATGCCTTTTACCAAGCAGGTGACTTCTGTTCATCAGCCTGACTCTGCTCTCCTCTGATTCATCATCTTAGATAATTAAAGAAATAATGATGATTAATATGCTTCTTATTTTTCCTTTGTAGGTAGACATTGCCTGTGATAAGGTAGACAAGTAGTTTATACTGTTTTTTTACCTGATCTAACTTCAATTGTTTCAGTCTGATTATTCCTTTTTCAAGTTATAGGTGAAGGAAATAGATGAGCTTAGTGAGGGTTACCACATAATCGGTCTCTCCCAGGTAGAGAACTTCTGCACCCTGAAATATTCATTTCCAATCCTCAAGGAACCTGTCCTGAATCAACAATATATAAGAGTCAACTGTAATGCTCACCTTTTATTTCATTTTTAGTTCTTACAATTTTTGTTGCAATTAAAACCAGTTTCCATTAACTCGGGATAAGATTGTTGTTTCCACAATCATCAACATGATATTTCATTTAGACATGGTCAGTGGACCACTGTTATTGTAACTAAATGTATAAAAAGTTCTGTTAGGTTCTTAGTAGCACTTGTCGACCTTTCCTCTTTTACTTCCCATAGATTTTCACTTCTTTTCCTCTTAGCAGACCAAGTCAGTCTTCAGCATTGAGAACTTAATTCTTAAATATGTAAACTTTTATGCTGTCTATTTTCAAAATCTTGTTGCAAAGCCTCGAGGCAACTGCTTTTTAGCTTGAACTTTGATACTAAATATTGTAGAAGGAACTAAGCTGTTGGAGTTTGATAAGAGTCTAGCTATCTCAGGTTTATATGATATAAAAAAATATTCTTTCTGTTTCTACATAAACTATCAATTTCACATTGAGAAACTCAGATGCTCAGACTCACCAAAAACTGCAGCACATTTGTCTCAATTAATAAGATTGCTGGAAATGACAGCATTATATGTATTTCAATGAAGAGTGCTTAGAATTTCCATGCATAATTTGATCTCCTTTTTTGATAATCCTATAGAACCCTTTTCATGGTAGCGTTGTTTGTGTCCATTTCTTTTGGTTTTGTGACTCCTCTCTTCATTTTATTAGGGAAACATGGTTGGCAGAGGGCTTGTTGAGCTCTGTAGTGATGGACCTCCTGTAAGTTAAAATCTTTGATCTAGCATTTCATGTATTATATCAACTAAAATGGAAGTTTCTTTATACAGCTTCCCACAGAATCCCCCCCCCCCCCCCCC